GGCATGAAGGTCAGCCCCAGGGTGCCTCGTTGAGGGAAGGGAAGGGAAGGGAAGGGAAGGGAAGGGAAGGGAAGGGAAGGGAAGGAGGTATCTTGGTATCCCTTTGCCACTTGGCTCTGGCTGGAGAGCCTGGGTTTTAGAGGCAGCACTATGCAATGCCCTAACAATTGTGTGTCGTCTTGCAGTTTTGCCAGCCAAGTGGATGGCAGCTTTTCAGAGAGAGAAACCCTCCCACGTTCTTCATTGCTGTCCTGACTGACATCAATTCGGAGCGCCATTACTGTGCCTGCTTCACTTTTTGGGAGGCAATTGAAAGCATCCAGGTAACGGGAGGTATTTCTTGACAAAGATATCTTTAACCCTGTTTGGAACCAAGGTCCTCTACAGAATGTGGAAAGGGATCCCACAGTCCAAGGATGATCCCGCTTTCTGGACAGGCTGTCCTCAGCTGTGGGGAGCTGATCTCAGCCAGCAGGCGTAACGGGCCTTTTTTCCCCAGCAGCTGCAGAACCGTTGGAGGAAGGAGGAAGTGGAGGAGGTGGAGGTGACTGCTCTCATCCATCCAACTCAGCTCTTTGCCCCTAAGAGTTTGGTGCTTGTGTCTCGACTGGACCACACGGAGGTTTTCCGGGTAAGGCTTGCTGGGCAGTTTTGCAAACAAGCCTCTGCCTAGGGTAGGTCAACATACGCCAAGGTTTACCATTGGTCAGCTCTCAGCCTTCTGGGCACTCCCTTCTTATCTTTGTAATTGTATTGTTAAGTGTATAGAAAGTGCTGCTTGTCCAGAGCTAGGAGAGGTATACAAAGCGTTTACAAGGCTGTTAGCATTCTGAAATGGCAGCTGTCTGAGCCAAGCCACTACAGATTCAGGCTGTATAGCACTTGGTCCTGGCTGGAATGCATTTTATGGAACCCTGGGGTTGGAAGAGGCCATTGAGGCCCCTGAATTCAGTCCTAGGTTCAGTGCAGGAATCCACAGGAAAGCATTGCCATAAATGGCTGTCCAGCCTCTGCTTGAGCTACTGGGCAAAATGCAGCTCACCGCTGTCAGTTTACCCTAACGCTTATCCAGGCTCTGCTTTCTTGTCAGCTAGGGAAAACGGAGTATTTTTCAAAGCACACACCTCTCCTTCAGTAAGTGTGGATAATAACGATTGTGGTTTAGTGATTAAGATGCTGGGCTCTGTGACAACCTTGGGGGAGCCATTTGCATTGCCAATTCTGTGGGCAGGCAAGTTGCTATATATTTTTTTGCCATATATTCCCAGGGCCACAGGCCCTGCACTGAGTTGAGAATTAGACTAGATGTCTTCTGAGGTCCTTTCCAGTCCTGTGATTTGATAATGGTGCACTGCCACCAGTCATGTGGTTTGTAGTTACATATGTCAGCCTGAACACCCAAGAATCCTGGCCTAAGGATGTCACTTTTCCAGGGCTTCTCTTTTCTGTCCTTAAGAACCCAGTAGCGGGCACAATAGTAAGAAATAGAAATTATCTATTTTAGTTTAAATTAAAACAAACATCAAGCGTTTTCCCAACGAGCATCATAGAATCTTAGAGTTGGAAAAGGCTGTTGAGTCCCACCCTTGCTCAGCACAAGAATCCAAATGAAGCATGCCAGACAGAAGGCTGTCGAGGTTTTGCTTGAACACATCCTGCAAGGGGAGAGGGCTACCCCTCTGGGTCAGTGGTTCCACTCTCAAAATGCTTTTTCTGTTAGGAAGGGCTTCCCTAATGTTCAACTGTAATCTGCCTTCCTATAAGAGAAGTACACTGTTCTGTGTCCTGCATCCTGGAAGGAGAAAGAACAGGTCTGGACCTTTTTTTAATGCGACCTTGGGACGCTGCAACCGTTGTAAGTGCAAGCCGGTTGCTAAGCAACCAAATTGCGATCATGTGACTGTGGAGGTGCTGGGATGGCCGGAACTTCAAGGACCAGTCATAAGTACCACTTGTTCAGTGCCATTGTAACTTCGAATGGTCACTGAACGAGTGGTCATTAACCAAGGACTACTGGTATATCAAGGAAAGAAACCCAAGAATAAAATACCAGTATCAGTGCAGGATCACAAATCACCCTGCCCCAGGTCCTGCTGAAAGCTCACATTTTACAGGCTCTCCTAAATGCCAACCAGATAAGGGCTCTGTAAGATGACATTAATTTTAATTCCTGGACCTGGAGCGTGTCCATTTTACTCAGTTTAATAGGATGAAAATACATCTGGAGAGAAGCATTCCTGCAGATACCCAAGCCCTGAGACATAAAGGACTTTAGATGACAACCAGCACTTTAGAATTTCACCCTAAAGCCAACTGGCAGCCAGTGCAGCTCACAGAGCAGAGGTGTTACTCATGACTATTCTCACCACTGCTTTCTTGATCAGTTGCAGCTTCTCAGTGGCCTTCAAGGACAACCCCATGTAGAGTGCATTGTAGTAGCTGAACTGCAAAGTGACTATGAGCAGGGTCTCCTGATCCAAGAAAGGGTGAACTTAGTGTACAAAGATGGATCTGCATGACTGTCACCTGCTCTTTGAGCAAGACTGGGAAGTCCAGGTGAACTCCCAAAGGACCAGTTCTATCTGGGAAAGTGCAACCCTATCAAGAATGGAAGTTGGAAGATTCTCAGAAATGTGGGATCCATAAATCCAGAGCCACTCTGTCTTGCTAGAGTTGATCCTGAGTCTGTTCCTCCCCCTCCAGACCCTGAGTCAGAACCTCAGAACCACATTACTTGGTTGGACAGGGACTGAAATGTATAACTGGTATCAGCTACGTATTGGTAATACCGGACCCCATATTAATGGATGATCTCATGCAGTGGCCTCATGTAGATGTTAAATAGGAGTTGGGAGAGTGTCAGGTCCTGAGGAATCCTGCAAAGAAGATGTCTCAAGGCTCAATCTCTCCCCTGTGCCCCCAACCCAACTGGAAGTGACCCTGAATATTTTATTTTTTAGTTAATTTGTTACAAATTTTAAACCACTTGATAACCAAAGTTCTCTGGGCAGGTTACAATAAGACACTAAAATTCAGTTTGAATAAAAACATAAAGAATACTGTAAAATGCAAAATAAAAATACCATATAAACTAGGCAACTACAAGGCAGTCATTCAAAAAGTAAAACAACATGAATTAAATGCAGTTGAAATACAAGGAGAAGACACGTTAAAGCCTGAGAAAAGAGAACCACTGCAATACAGTGCCTCCAACTCCCAGTCCTGGAGACGATTCAGAATTACTATGCTGGTCTATGATTGTAATAAAGATTGATTTGCTTTAGAATGCTATCCTGATCGGTGGTATCAAAGGCTATCAAGAGATGGAGTCACCACATTTGGGCCTTGTGCATGCCCAGCATCTTTGCCAGTCGTTAAAGTTCCCACATAAACCTGAGGGAGGTGCTGCTGCCTTAAGACTTGAATGAGTAGAAGCCTGCTAAGGGTCACGCGGCCCTTGCACCAGGCTCAAGGCAATTTCTCTGAGCCCTTTGCAAAGCGAACACTGCCCTGGTAGAGCATGCTGCTGCTGAGCCCAGTTTCCCATCACGGTGGCACATGCTTCTAGATGGGGGGCCTCTGCTGAGCCCCCTGTGTCCTGTGCTCCCACAGAACTGCCTGGGGCTGATCTACACCATCTATGTGGACGGACTGAGCACCTCTCTAGAAACTGTAATTGGGAATCTCCTGACGTGCACTATCCCCATTACAGGGGGCTCCCAGGTGAGTTCTGTATTGGCCCCATGTCTTTGACCTTAAAGTGACAGATTCTCAGGGTAGATCGAGGGAGGGGGTGTGCGTGCCCATGCAGGAAAGTCCTTCCCCACACCTCTCTTCTGTTGATCAACATTGCTTCGTTGTGAAAGAGCTGATGCGTAGCAGCATGGGGGGTTTCTCCAGACAAGCTGCGAATGGGAGGTGATGGCGGCTTGCTTCCTGCAGGGAAGTTCAGCTCTTTCTCTGCTTTTGTGGCATTGTTTCTACTTAAGGCAGGGACCAACAGTCTTTTTGTAGCTGGGTCCCCACTTTTCATTAGAGGGGCTTCTAAGATGCGTGCATTGTCTACTAACTCGCCTGTTTCATTTATTTTATTTTTTATTTGCCAAAAATAACATAGCAGCAATACTCCTGTTACTTTACTGCTTGCTTAGAAGGGTTCCAGAGGGCTCGAAAAAGGCAACGATGGGGCATGTGTGCCATGAGTCAGAGATGGGCGTTTCCCACGGTTCTGGAGGCGAGGCTGCTTTGCCAGCTTTGCCTGTTCTCTGCCTTCTGTGTAGCTTGCAGCAGTCTTGCAAGCCCCCTGGGACTCTCTTTGTAGGCAGGCCTCTAGCAGTGCTGGGGGAGAAGGGGAACTGGGCCTCCTCCTTGCTCTCCTGGGCCGTGTCACAACCAGCGCCCGCTCCCACTCCCACTCCCTCTCCCTGCTTTGTGCTGCTGCCTTGTGGTGCTCTGCTGTGCGTGCTTGGCTCCTTCTCGCTTGGCCATCGGTCTGTGTTGTACTGTGTTTCTAACTGATCATGCTATTTCTGTCTGTCTCTGTCTCAGCCTGACCTGGATGACGAAGCAGCGGTACGCACAACTTTTCTCTCCTCGGGGCTGCCTTCCTCTCCCAGAGGAGGCCTGGGGGGCTCCAGTGGCCTAGAAGGGCCCACGAGCAGCTCCCTGTTCTCTTTGCTGTGTGTTAGGGAGAGTCTTGTGAGGCTGGGGAAAAGCATGCAGGTTGCCTTCTGCCCTAGCTTTCCTGCTGTCGGGTAGAGGGCCTCAGCTGGAAACTGAGCAGGACTGGACATTCTGCTGTAGGGCCCAGAAGGGGTATGTGAGTATCCGTGTGGCCTTGAATTCGCCATGAGCCAGATCATGTGGGCCCTTTCTAAGCCATAGGACTGTGCAACAGCTGGCCATCATGGAAGGCAGGGGGCTTTGCATCCAATGGGGTGAGACAGGTTTTTCACCGCATCTGAGAGCTTCTCTGGAGTCCTGCCAGGTTGTCTTTCAGACTTCAGCTGCTCTTGTGAGAAGAGGAATTGCCAAGAGCTTATTTCCCGCCAATTTCAGTTCCTTGGCCTGCACAGCTTTTGACCCTTGGGGGCTTGTCTTTCTCTCCCCTCTTGCAGAGGACAATTTCTCTGGGTGCAGGTGACAGGCAAGTGATCCAGACGCCTATCAGCGATTCCCTCCCCATCAGCAACTGCAGTGTGGCACTCCTTTTCCGACAGCTAGGTGAGATCGTTCAGGCTGCTTGGGAATTCATTCTTGGGTGGGGTTGGCTCTCCATGCTACTGTTGTTCTTGGGAAAGTCGTCCCCAGTCCCAGAAACTCCAAGCCTGTTGGTTCTGGGAGGGCACAGCTGTTCCTTTGGTTCTCAGGGGCCCTGTCTCCAGGTCAAGAGATGCCTTTGGAAGGTCTATTGAGAGGGAGGAAGGGAGGGATTATTTTGTTGGCTGCTGAATTGTTGCATCCAAGCGCAGGATGGTCCAGCTGCAAGCCTCAGAGAAGCCCCTTCTTCAGCCTTGACAATCCCTGCCCTCCTCTTCCAGGGATCACCAACGTATTGATTCTTTTTTGTGCGGCCCTGACCGAGCACAAGATCCTCTTCCTCTCCAGCAGCTACCAGAGACTCACTGATGCCTGTCGGGCACTGCTTGCCCTCATCTTTCCCCTGAAGTACAGGTCAGTAAAGAGAGACTCAAACTGCTGGAACTGCCAGAGCTCCTCTGCCCCTAGTAGAATATACTCTCCCCTGAGCTGCTGCTCTTGGAGTAAGGAAGTAGATCCCAAGGAGCTGAAGAGTCTTTCTTTAAGAAGTCTGCTTTGTCGCTTTCTTGGTTACAGCTTCACATATGTGCCCATCCTGCCAGCTCAGCTCCTGGAGGTCCTCAGCACACCCACCCCTTTCATCATTGGAGTCAGCTCCATCTTCCAGTCGGAGACACAGGAGCTGGTGAGTGTCAGGTCCACCTAGGCATCTGGAAGCATGGCATGAAGTGCCTCCCTGAACCTTTAAGGAGGAGCCCAGGTTTGGGAGCAGACTGAATTTTCTAGCAGGCTGCTCCATTCCCCATCCCCACGTTCTTGCAAGTGCCTCTTCTCCTGAGCTGCCCTCTGTGTAGGGAAAGGGAAGGGCTTTTTCTATACAGGTACTCCTTGGTTAACAACCACTTGTTCAGCAACCGCTCAAAGTTGCAGTGGCACTGAACGAGTGGTATTTATGACCGGTCCTTGAAGTTCTGGCCATCACAGCACCTCTGTGGTCAAGTAATAACGATTTGGTGAGTTTGGCAACTCACCCACCCACCATCTGCTTGCGAGCCGCTCACAACTTGTGACTTCCTGCTGGCTTCCCCATTGACTTTGCTTGTTGGGAGCCAGCAGGAAGTTGTAAGTTGTGGTCATGTGAGGTACTTGTTTAACGACCCATGATCCTGGCTTAATGATGGCAACAGAAGAGAGCTACTGAAACCTATTGCACAATGGGTTACAATGTACAGGACTCTTTAGCTTAGATGAAAGGTTGGGGTGAATACACATGCTAGGATAAGAACATGAAAATAGCCCTGTTGGATCAAGCCAAAGCCCATCTTAGTCCAGAATTTTGTTTTTCACAGTGGCCAACCAGATGCCTCTGTGGTGCTAATGAGGAGGTGGAGACATACCCCCCTCCCCTCCCTCCCCGTTCCCCTGCAACTGGTATTTGAAGGGAGGCTGCCCCAGTTGGAGGTACCATGGAGTCTTTAAGATTGATAGCCTTGATGCTCCTGTCCTCCATGAATTCTTCAGTTCCCATTTAAGGCCTTCCGAATTAATGATCATCACCGTGTCTTGAGGAAGTGAATTCCGTAGTTAAGTATGCTCTGGCGAAGAGGTCCTTTCTTGCCTGTTCTGAGTCCCCTTCTAGTCAGCCTCATTGATGACTGTGGGTCCTAGGGGCTGCACAGAGAAGGCTTTTCCCTGTTTACTTTCTCCACGCTGGGTTGGATGAAATCAGTTTACACCAAAGCTCAGCAGAGCCATCCAGTGAAACCAATTGGCCAGAGTGGGTCGGGTGGATGGGTGGGTGAGTGAGTGAGTGGAAGATTTGTGGCAGACAAAAGACAATGTACTTCTTTACAGAATTTGATCTCATAAAAAGTACTTGGTGGTTAAAGACATAAGGCAGATTCAGGAAGGAAATGATGATCAGTCGTGACCAAATGGCGATGACTGTATTTTACCTTGAATGTCATGAAATGCCAGTGGCAGAGAACTGTGAGTGGCAGAGTCAATTGTGCTTCAGGGCTTAATCCCATAGGAACCAGTTTGACCCCATGGGAGGAAGAGATGACACTAAATGGATCACATTTCAGGGCTCTTACATTCTCCTGCCCCTCTCCAGGGAAACGTTCTGGGTCAGCTTGTGGGGAAGGCTTTGAGCTAGGTTGGGCCCAGGGGAGGCTGTGGATGTGAGGTCTGCAGCATCTTTGTTGCTTTTCCCAGTTGGATGTGATCATAGCAGATCTTGATGGAGGGACAGTAACTATCCCAGAGTGCATCCATATCTCTTTGCTGCCTGAACCTCTTCTCCATCAGACACGTGAAGCCCTCTCTATGGTGAGTGTTGTGTTACTTTCATTTCTCCTAAGATGCCTAGAGGACGCTGGCCTAGTGGAAACAAAAGCTGACAGGGGAGCAGCACAGATGGTCACATAAGACTCTGCGCCCATAAGGGTGCTTTGGGTGGCTGGTGCCCTGGGTGTGGGTGAGCCTTGTTATCCCCAGAAGTAATTTCTGCAGGAGGCAGGTAGTCCTAGTCCTCTGCATAATGTGGGACAGAGGACAGGCTGCAGCTGTCCAGCTTCAGAAGATGTTTGGAGTCATATAATTGGCAGCAGAGTCAGATGTTTTTCTGCTCTTGTAGGGCTGTAGAGTGGTGTTTAAATCTTTTTGAACGTTTGTAATTCTTCCAGGTATGTTTGCTCAGCTGGTCACATAAAGAGGTATTGAATACTTCTGAAAAAAGAAATAACTCTTTAAAAAAATCACCAAGTTGATTAAAGCAAAATAACAGGATCCCTGTTTAAGATATGTTTTCTTTCCCATACCTTTCTGAAATAGTTAAGAAAACTATCAGTTTCAGATGAATAGGTTGTTTCAAAGAAAATGTTTTAGTCTTGAAACCAAACAGACTCCAGAATAAGATTGTGCATGCAAACATAACATATATACCCATCATACTCTTCACTTTTGGGATAGTACAGAAAAAGACTGAGATACAGTCAGCAAAAGTATTAAAAAACATAAGAGAAAAAAAGGAAATGTAGATAATACCTCTCCATACCTTTTTCTCCTTGCCAACCATCTTTGTTGCTAGCACATTCGTAGATCATTTCATATATTGTCTTTTGTTCTATAACTTCTCGCCTCTTTTTCAGGATTTCATCGATTCCATCCACCCACAGCTTTTGGGTTTCCCCTTCCTCTCAACCCCTTCCCCTTTTCTTCATGTATTTCTTTTGCAGTTTGATCCTCGTCCTTTCTCCCTGTATTAGCAAACCACCTTAGCCTGCTCGCCAGTCACTGTTATATCCAGTCCACATTAATTCATCCCCTGTTCATTCTTAACGCATTCTGTGTCAGGAGACTGCATATGTCCGTGAGTTGGTGGGATGAGGACAATATCTTGGCTTACAGGGTAGTCCCTAGATTCAAGATCCTAGCTGTTACAGAACAACATGATCACACTTGTGATAAAACGCGGCTTAGGTTGCAAAAACTGACCCATACTGCCTTTATCATTAGCAGAGAATACCCCATGTGTCACAGATGTGACTAAGGCCAAGTCTGTACCTTCTTTGGTTATTTGGCCATTTGGAAATGCAACAAGGGATGAGAATGATGATTCTCACCCAGGAGGCTTAGGTGCAGGCATGTGTGTTTTGCGTACAGTGGGGCAAAAAAG